TTCATAGGACAATTCCATGTTGTGTTGTTCTTGACGAAAGGATTTTACCCTCTTAAGGAGTAGATAGTTCTTAGTGTTTTTTAATCGTCATTTGTTATGATTTTGATCTTTTTTGGTAATTTTTTAATTTATGGAATTATATGTAGAAGAATTAGGAAGTTGGGGTTTCAGTTATTAAATGATTTCGTCTTGATTTCAGTTATTAAAGGTTTTCAGTTAGGGTTTCATTTTTTTTGGGGTAATATTGTAAATTAAAATATTTTTCTTAGTTGATTTCACCATATGTTCTAGTCCTCGATAAATCACAAATTAACTTTCCTTCGCTTTTATGATTTCTATTGTTATTTGTGATTTCTGAGGAAATTTTAAATTTGGGCATCTGATTTTTTAATGGAATTCAACCTACACTTCATATTTCTTGTTTTCTGTTTAATAATTTTTTTTATTTCTGACTATTTTCCATGGTCAATTTCTTGTTTCGATTCAGTGAAACATAATTCCACATAATATTTGCTTGTCATAAATTAGTGTTCTCATAAATTAGGAATTAGGATTGTGTTTGTGTGATTAGAAGCTGACTTAGCGGCACCACATCTCAAGTTCAAATCCTAACGCTAAACTGCGGCCAAAAGAAATTTTTTTCTAATAAATTAAATCACTTGATATTTAATTATTCTTTTTTCGAAAGCGATTAGTGACTCTGGTTTCCTCTTTTCTATTATTATTGAACTTGAGCCTAAAGAAAACCCACTTGTTCCTTTAGTTCTTGAGTAATATTTTTTAATTTCAATCTATTTTCAAAGGCCAAGTCCATGTTGTATTTTTTAATCCAAACAATATCGTATCTTATTTAATTTCACTTTTTATAAAACAATATGATAAATTTATTCTAAATAAAGGAGCGATGGACGTTGACATTGCTCAATATATGCTCACGGATTTGAGCCTGAGGAATTCAAATAAAGAGAACGTCATTGCTGATTCACCAGTCAAGAAGGCTCTCGTCAATATTGTTTTCCAAATTAAGAACAGCCCCCCTGCCCCAACTAAGAGTATTTATGAGGAAGCTTCTCTGATAAGCATCAAGTGAGATCAGCCAAGTTTCGAGGACATATTTCTTTAGCTCAACTCTCTCTCTCTCCTCTCTCTTTCAAATTCTCAATGTTATTCCTTTTTTTACATTTGCAGTCAGCTATGGACGTCTCTGAAGTGCCAGACTTGTTGAATGAGTACTACTTAAATATATTAGATTGAAGTTGTAGCAATATTAGATTGAGGTGCCAGACATGTGTTTAGGAGGGCAATGGCCAAGATATTGCTACAGTTCCAATCTAATATATTTAAGTAGTAATCGTTCAACAAGTCTGGCACCTTAGAGACGTTCATAGCTGACTGCAAAGGTAGAAGGGGAATAACATTGAGAATTTGAGAGAGAGAGAGAGAGAGTCAAACCAGAGAAATTTGTCCTTGAGGTTTGGTTGATCTTACTTGATGCTTATCAGAGAAATTTCCTCACAAACACTTTCAGCTGGTTGAATTAGCAATGACATTTTTTTTATTCGAATTCCTCTGGCTTGAATTCGTGAGCATATATTGAGCTATGTCAAAGTCCATTGCTCCTCTTTTTGGGGTGATTCTATCATACTGTTTTATAAAAAAGTGAAATTAAGTAAGATACGATATTGTTTGGATTAAAGAACAAAACAACATGGACTTGCCTTTCAAAATAGATTGAAATTAAAAAATAGTACTAAAAAACTAAACAAACACGTGGGTTTTCTTTAGGCTCAAGTTCAATAATAATAGAAAAGAAGAAACCATGGTTACCAATCGCTTTCAAAATAAGAATAATCAAACATTTAGTGATTTAATTTATCAGAACACTTTTTCTTTTGACGACAGTTCAGTGTTCGGATTTGAACTTGAGATGTGGTGCCGCTTAATGTCAACTTCTAAACGCACAAGCACAATCGCAATTCCTAATTTATGAAAACACTAATTTATGAGAAGCAAATACTATGGGGAAGTGTGTTTCAATGAACGGGAACATGAAATCGACCATGAAAAATAGTTGGAAACAAAAAAAAAATATTAAAAAGAAAACGTAAAATATGTAGTGTAGCTGGAATTCCATTAAAATCAGATGCTCAAATTTACGATTTCCTCAGAAATCACAAATAACTACAGAAATCATAAAAGTGAAGGAAATTTAATTTGTGATTTATCAAAGATCAGAACAAATGGTGAAATCAACTATGGAAAATACTTTAATGTACAATATTACCCAAAAAATAACGAAACCCTAATTGAAACCCTTTAATAACTGAAATCAAGACGAAATCATTTAATAACTGAAACCCCAACTTCGTAATTTTTCTAGAGTCACATATGATTCCATAAATAAATTTTTTTTTGAAAAAGATCAAAATCATAACAAATGACGATTAAAAAACACTAGGAAGTATCTATTCTTTAAGAGGGCAAAATCCTCTCGTCAAGAACATGACAACATAGAATTGTCCTTTGAAAATAGATTGAAATTACAAAATAATACTCAGAAATTGTTTCAGGTGGGTTTTCCTTAAGCCCAAGTTCAATATTAACAAAAAAGGGGGAACCAAATTTACTGACCTCTCAAAAAATACAAATAATCAAACACCTAGCTTTCTAATTTTGGAGAAAACTAATACTCTATGAAAATAGGCTCCAGTGATTAAGAACATGGAATCAACTATAGAAACTAGTCAGAAATTTAAAAATATCAAATGGAAAACAAGAAATATGAAGCGAAGGCTGAATTCCGTTAAAATCACATATCCAAATTTAAACTTTCCTTAGAAATCACAAAGAACTACAGAAATGATAAATAAGTGATGTTGGTCTCACCTACTTAGAGCACTATCGCACAAATGCGGATGTGCGCTGCAGAACTAGGATATTTGAGACACAAAAATATGTCAAAGTCGATATGTGTGTATGAGTGGGAAAACATGCAATAAAGTAAATAAAGAAATAAATCTTATTAGCACTGGATTTACGTGATTCACCTTTTCAGGCCACTTCCATAGGAGAAAAAGACGAATCCACTATTAACTCAAATATTAGAATAGTTTTCTAAGAAACAACTTTCTTAAGTTCATGGATTTCTTCTAGAGACCTCTCTCTAAGATTTTCATATCTGATCTCAGATATTTCTTTTCTTTCTAGTGGTCTTTCTTTAAAAGAAAAGGTTATCTCTTTCTCTCATTTTTCTTCCCATCTCCCCCTTTTCTCTCTCAACGAAGAAACGACTTAAGAAGAGGATCACTGGCTCTCTTCCATCTTCTTCTTCTCTCTACGAAAAAAGATAACTCTCTCTCTCTCCTTCTCTCTCAGAGAAGGATAACTCTCTCTATCTCTTTTTTTCTGATAGAGAAGGATGAATCTCTATCGTCTTCTTTTCTACAGAAGGAGGCTTCATGTAATTTTCAATACACTAAGAATAGTCGGCTCAAAGAAATGGCTTAGTGAGATGCACATCCAAAAATGGCCCAAAGAGGCTCATGCTAAAAAATGGCCCAGAGAGGTGGCTTTGGTTTAACCAACCAAGAGTGCCCACATCGCCTCTCATGTAATTCTCTTTTATGTATGGGTCAAGGGATAACTATCATATTTAGAAATGTATCCCATAACCACCCAAAAGAGTGGTCCATCTCTATCTTGTTTTGAGAAGGAGATAAGAGGAATATCTTCCCATATCAAAAGCCATCACGTGAGATCCTATTTTTATGGAAACAAGACTTAGTCAACAAGTCACTTTTTTTCATATTCCTGAACTGCTCTTCATTGAAAAAGAACAATTTCATTGGTGTCCCTCCCTCATGGGATGGGACACCCTACAATCTCCCCCTCCAATCCTAGGAGGGAGGTCTTCCTTTTCAGATCAACCAGGTGCTCAAATGGCACCCGTGTCAGTCATACTTCTACATGACTTTTGTTTGTCTTTGGCCAAGGTTTGCGTCATTATATCCGACATTTTCCTGCGGTATGGATTTTCCCTAGTTGCGACAGTTTCTCATCCTTCTGTAGCTTGGACTGCCATGCGATAACTCTCATTGCAAAAGTAATCGAGTATCTCGAGATTGACTTCCTAGAGTCTAGTTCTCCAGCGATGTCTTCATCTGTGTGCTAATAATACAGGTTTTTCTCCCCTAAAGCACAAACACACTTCGGATATTCCTTTGAGATACCTGAATATCAAATTGGCTGTTGTCTTGTGTTCCTTGCCTAGATTAGCGATACCTGAATTTTCTCATAGTGTCACTGTCAGTCCATAATCACTGGCAGTTAAAGTGATTCACTGTTGGTCAAAGTGGTGACTGACGATCCATTAGTCAGTAACTTCTTTGCACAGTGGCGATTCACTGTTGGTCAAGGTGATGACTAATGGTCCATTAGTCAATACCTTCTTTGCACAGTGGCGATTCACTATTGTTCAAGGTGACGACTAATGGTCTACCAGTCAAGACTTTCTTTGTGTGAATCACTTGTTTCTTAATCTTCATTAGACTATTGGAGCTCTTAATCTCTCTCGCTCTCTCTTTAAACTTCTAGTCCACAATATTTATACATTTTACCATAGTGGGTCCCTCTTGATTCCATTGATTTCTATTATAAGAACATTATTGATGGTGCAAGTAGTTTTTTGTTTGGTAAATTAAAACACAAGCTGTTCTTCTACTGGGTAAGACGCAAATGGTCGAGGACATGTTTTCCGTAGTTTTTTAATGCTAAGATTGATTTAATGCGGGGTTATTCTAAATTCGCTGAATGCAATGTCATGGATAAATAAATACACTTGTTGTTGGTTCTTGCTGCTTTTTTTCTTTTTGTCGATTTTTTTTTGGAGCACAACGAGCATGATGTATATCACCTTTTTATCAACACTAGTTGTTGCTTATTTAAGGATATTTCAGTATACCATCTTCAAATTTGCTCAGATGTTTTTCTGTTTTCTTTAGGGCTTGATGGTAAGAGCCTTCTTCTATTGAAGTTGCTGATTATTGCAGAAAATAAATATAATGAGTTCATTTGCAACAGAGATTTATATCTTCTAGTTGCAAAATTGTTTTCCTCCTTAGTAGGTTGAGATCATTCTTGTCGTACTCTTGGAATGGTATGAAATATTCTTTTCTCAGTGTTTCATTTTTAATAGATTGCTACTTTTGTTTTCCTCTTTCAATAAGAATTATTTACTGGAATGAGGTGCAGTTTGTCTCTGTTGGATGGATTTAGTTGTTAAGGGTGATGTAGATTCTAAGTGAACCAGGATAATAACATTGACTTATTGTAAATGGGAGACTGCATCCATGTCCAATTGTCCATAAATGAAAGCTGTAATCCAGTTTTCCGCATAGGAGAAACTGTTGAACTTGGTGTTCTTTCTTGTTGGATTTTAAATACTTTAAAAGTGTACATATTGGGTGCCCTGTCTTAAAGTCCTATGTTTGCAGGCATGGTGGCAGACGAGGCAGGGATCTCTCAATTTGGGTGCTCTGTTTCGCTTTGATGTTCCATATAACTATTGTTGGTTCTTCCGAATATGTTTTCTTTATTGTTTGCTTCTTCTCATTATTTTAATTTCTTTTCTTTTATTGGTTTATGTCCTTTGGATGTAAGTTACATGCAGATTGGTCACTGGACGAGATGGTCATATTTTGATTTTATTGTCAACTTTTGTAGATGTATTACTTATTAATTAGCTGTTAGTTTTTTACCTAGCCACAAATGTATGCCAAAGATAGATAGGGGTATAATTGAAATGACATGCTTGTATTAATGGCTGGAAAGATCATCATCATCGTCATCACCATCCAAGCCTTATCCCTACTATTTGGGGTTGGCTGCACAAATCCTGTTATGCCATTCCACTCCATCAAGGGTCACACCCTTAGTTCGACCATAAGTCACCACATGCCTTCTCACTACTCAATGGTTGGAAACAATACTCCAATAATTTTGGATAAATTCTATTTCTTGTTCTATTCATAGTTACCAAGATCTTCCAAATAGGTGCAATCCCGCTCTGGGATCTCACTTCCGTGCTCAAGGAAAGGGTTCTCAATTTCTAAATTTTGGGATCTCGATCCCTGCTGTTAGTAATCCTTATTCCTACTATTAGGGATCTCGATTCCAACCTTAAAGACTATGACAACAAGCAAACTAATGATTTTCCTTACTTATAGCTAGTTAGCATGATAAGTACAATTCCAATATAGTTGCATTGCTTGTTGGCTATAACTAAAGAGATACCTACTTTAAAGATTGTATATGATCTTAGATCCAAGAAGGTTGGGATCAAGATTCCCAAAAAGTTGGAATCTCGATCTCTAACATTAGGGATCTTCACCCCTAACATATGCACTGCATGGACGACACTCCCAACCATAGGGATCTTGTAGCATTTCACGATCCCTCACTTCTGATCTCAATTCTGCTCCCAAAACCAACAACTATGGTTCTGTTGTATTTTAAAATAGTTCCCAAATGGGAACATTCATGAGTGGCACAAGATGAAGCATGGAGTGGACAAATACCATGGGAGCATCTTAAGTTGTTTGGTTTGGTTTCATTCTTGTGACACTACTACTCATAACGAACCTCTTGGCAAGGTTGTCCATTTGGCTAGACATGATCTCAAACTATCTCTTGATTATTTTACAATTTTCTGCTTAAGGAATTCCACAATACAAGATTCTGTCATTGCCAAATTGTTGATGGGTCACCTTACTATCTCAAGGTGTGAAGCTATTAATGCAACCATGATAAGTTCATCCACAAACCTCTCAAAAGATCAGAAAATAAATTTTAAGAGGAAAAATTCATGTCAATATCCCTTTTGAAGGCATTCTATACCCTTAAATATACCTTTGGGGTTTTCTTGACTATGATTGTGATGGATATCAAGAACATGCAGTTTTAATCCATCTATTACCAAAACTCATCCAGCCATTGAAGTAGTCAAGGAAGTCACCATCAACATGGTCTTGAGCCATTCCTATGTCTATAATCACCACCATACCGAGACTTCCATTGTTGTATTTAGTCTTTAATACCATGGACTTCTGGCTAGGATTTGCTTTTCTCTAAGTACATATCCCTGCAAGGGAGTTTGACTATGTTGAAGGATTATCTTAGGCATTTATGACAAGTACTAAAACCAAAGATAGAATGGGTAAATGCACTCGCAAGGTAATATACACACACACACACACACTAACTCTGCCATGACTGGTCTCAAGCCCGGAAAAAGGAGGAGGGTTGTGTGAGGTGGGCAGCTGGCATGAAACTTGTTTAAGATGTATGTCCCTTACTTGGGATTAGGCTCGGATGATGATGACGATTATGATAATATATATACACAATAGCTTGTTTAAGAAGTATGTCCCTTGCTAAGCTGATTGATTTTTTAAATATTGATGAAACCGTACATAGTGATTGATCATTTGAATGAAAGCCATGTCAGTATTGATCATTAGTCTTAGCGTTTTAATGCGAAGCCAATTTGGTCACTTGATGCAGTGTAAAGTGGGTTTGCTTGAGGTAAATTCCTTGTTGGTATGCTGTTATCAAATTTTCATGCTGCATTTTAAACAGCTAGTCTTTCTTTGTGGTGAATTCATTCTTGTGATTTTTTTTACACTCAAAAGTGGATGATTGGTGTTATTGCTATCATGTTGCCTTTGTTTGCAAGTTGGTTGATTTTGAGATACTAAGAAGCTTTTGTGGGGGAGTGCTATGTTGTCTTTAGTTTCAGGAGATCACATGAAACCATTATGCTTGAGGCGTGTGATAACTTGACCGTGAAGTGGATCCTAACCTGCAATATTTTCACTCTAGAAAGTGGTACAGTTTCAAAGTGTCATTGAGCTTTGCATAATGAATTGGGGTTGGTTTTCATGGATAGTTTTAGTCTTGAATTGGGGTTGTCATGGAATCCCGAATAAAATGGATGCCAACTGAGATCGAGCTCTAATCAGGACAATCAATGCAATATGGGTTTTGTTTGATATTGTAATTTACCAGACAAGGAAGTGCCAGATTCAGATATGTTTCAAGGCTTTCAATGATTTTTTTATTTTTTTTCCTTCCATATGTTTCATTGGTATATTGGCCTATTTGATGGGCATGAAAATGCAAGTGATGGTTACTTTGTATAATCTTAATGGTGGATGGTTTGTTGTTTTGAACCTTTTGTTAGCTAAGCATTCAGATGTAAATGCAATATCTGACCAACTGGGTTGACATATTTGGCACATTAATTGAGTGGTGAGAAATTTAGAAAATGATGATATCACTAAAAATTTGGAACCATCATACAAGTCCTCTCTCTCTCACGCACGTGCTGATACACCTCTTAGTCGAATGGAAGAGTAGAAGCTGAGAGAAAAAGGGAAGTAAGTCATGATAAATATGGAGCACAGCGGAGTCACAAATAATAGGTGGTCCAAGGTTCAAATTTTAGAGTTTTGTTATGAGGGCTAGCCAGCTAACCAGCATAAAATTTGCCGGTGGAGTCTCCACTGTCCAACTTAGTTTTACGGTGCTGGTCCTTATAAAAAAAACCGTGTCTAAAAATAATAGGTGGTCCAAAGTTCAAATTTTAGAGTTTCTTAATTCTCTTTCAAACTCTTTCCCATACTCTTTCATTAACATAGTAGATACTTTCTACTATGTGCTCTCTTTTTTACAAGTTTACTATGTGCTCTCTCGAACCTTTTTTGGCATTCTCGAATGACCTACGGATTTTTAACACTAAAATTCAAATAATAACACAATTTGCTTATGTTATAAAGAAGGTCATAATAATTCTCGGTCATTGGATGTGAAATCAGGTGGTTGGAAAAGTATAGTTGATCGGGCACAAAGTTTAAAACAAAATTTTTCAAATATTGTAACAATTCAATATGTCGGATTTCACATCTAATGGTAAAAAATGAATATCACTTCTTTGCACAAAAAATAAACGGTTTTATAATAGACAATATTTACAATATAATCCCGCATTAAAATAACCCGACAGAGCTTTTCCCTACAAACATCTTCCTATAAGAACACACGCACATGATCTTCCTCGCATTAGAATAACGTGACATCAATGTTACAATGAAGTATGACACTGTAATTTACAGTGCAAAAATACCAATTCCATCTAGCTACTCAAAACTGTGAGAACATGATGACATAGATTAGTAGGAATAATAATTTACCATGTCATCTAATACATTTGGTGACCTGCTTTACTATAAATGAGATTCTCTATAGGCACATTGATGATGAAATGGATAGATACAAAAATCGTATCCAACATCTTTCTTTAGTATTGTGTAGTCACACCATCTAATGATTGTTTCATCATCCAATCATATGTTATTTAGGGCATACAATAATAGTTATATCCTGTTTTTAACATATGTTAACAACTATTATTGATAAGCGGGTGTTACATAAGAGAAATTACATCATCAGTTACCACAAGTGTAGGCAAAGAGGCACCACTCTTAGCAAGAGAATCGGCCAAAGTGTTAGCCTCCCTAAAAATATGATGTAAAGAAACAATCAGTGGTTTTGCCATATCTAGAATATGCAGCCACTCCGATTTAAGCTCCCATGGAGCCTTTTGTTCTTTATTGCACCACCGAATGACATTAAAAAAACCCCCCTCAATCAAGCAACAATTTCTCAGATTTCGGCTAATAAAAAGTTTCAATCCATGAAAGAGTATGAAAACTTATGCGTGGTTTGCTGTAGCCTCACCAATTGCACCAGCATAGGTAAAAATAATTACCCCATTCTAACCCTTACCACCCTATCTATACCAACCATACTTGGATGGCCGAAAGAGCTACCATCAAAGTTAAGTTTGAACCCACCTTGTTACGGCGGCATCCACAAAGTTCTCAACTGAAATTTGATAAAGCTTAGACTAAACATATTTTACAGATTTAATGAAACATCTACTTCTGAAATGCCCCACCCTTCTTTTGTCGGTGACAACCAGCACCACAAAGTATGCTTGATAATGGTAAGGACTCTATCAAAAGATACTCACCCCATCAAAAGTTCTATTTCTTTCTTTCCACACATCCCACACAATCATACCACCAGTTATCTTCCATATGACATTACCTACCTTTGAAAGATGTGGCAAAGTCAATTGAGTGGCAATCCCCAACAAACATTGATGCATTACCATCCACACCTCAAGCTCTGTGAAAAACCAGGACCAAATTCTAATAACGAAAGAACAATGCATAAATAAATAGGTCCTAGAGTCACCATCTTCCTTACATATAAGATAAAACGTTTGGCAAAAAATTTTCCCTCTTCATAAAATTATCAATAGTAAGAATCTTTTTTTGGGCAAGAGGGATGGGTTACTTCCAAAATGGAGCAACTTGTGGCAACGACCAACACATCGATCATGATAAGGCAACCGATAGGTAGATTTAACCATGAAACTGGCATCACTTTCAATCTCCCATACTATCCCATCAACGGTCTCATTTTCATGCTCTAATCATAGTTTGTATGATGTTGCAATAAACATTTATGGATGGGGTTTCTATGGATCAGCCAACTCATATTGTACATATGTGGGCTCCTATCAAATCTATATTAAAAATAGATTTTTAATTCAAAATTTTAGGGGTTTATGATCTAGGCTAAGCCAATCATGAAAAATAAATAACAGCATTTAAAATGTGATTATCTTAAGGATATTTTTACACCATCTATATCAATTTTGGCTTGGTGGGGTCTGTGCAACGTCCATTTTAAGATGGATGTTGGTGAGTCAGCAGGCTCTTGCGCACGCCGAACAACTTTTCTAACATTTATTTTTGTGTGTGCACTGAAACAAAGTTAGATCGTCAAATTATATGGATTTTTTAATTTACTTCAAAAATAAAAAATATAATTCTGATCTTTCGAAAAGTACCAGTATGAAAAATATTAGTGTGTATAAGCAGTATTTCTTCTATATAGAGAATATAGAGAACATATATATAATAGGCATTCCTTGCCACTGGGCCAAGCTTTACGGGACCAGGCCTTGTTATTTAGGACTGGGCTGGTTTGCCCCTAATAGTGGGTAACAAGCCGGATCGACCTGCCTTCCTGACGAACTGACCTGATTTGGGTCCTGCTCTGGTCTTATTTCCCGATGAGCTCGGTTCAGAACTAGGGACACAATATTAGGTCAGTTGCGATCCAGGTCTAGGTTAAGTCGACCTAGTCCAACCCCGGATATTTGCTATATAAGTTTTATTATAATAACATTGTATATTATACAATCTAATATTATTTATATCCAAAATGATATAATTTTTAATATAATATATTATTATATAATATCTTAGAAGTTTAAAAGGGATTCTTAACAAGAACCTTTCTATCTTCTTCATCTATTGTTTTATGTTGTTGAGAGTTCAAGGCGTAAATGAGAGAGAGAGAGAGCTACAAAAATTAAGCAGTGCTTAACTTGACCAGTCTAGGTCTAGGTCTAGCTTGGATTCTATCGGGTCTGATTAGGTTCAAATCAAGGACAACCCATCATCATTATATTAGTATAAGTTACATATAAGTATACTAGTTAAAAATGGGCAAGCTTTTTATGTTTCTCCTACAACATAAAATCTATATATTTCCTCTTATCCAATCTTCCATTATGAATGGAGGGCTAAGATTGTCCCAATTACAATGTTACGTCTTTACACTATTTTATTTTTATTTTTTTTTATAAACTATTTTAACACCAAATTTTATACGTTCAATCTTTTATTAAACTCGCACTAGCGAAAAATATAAAAAATATATTTTTAATAAAATAAAATGACCAAAATACATTTAAAAATTTCAAAAGTATTTTGATTATTATATTTTATTGAAAAAATACTTTTAATTTTTTTTTTTTTGTAAGTGCGCCCAATGAGAAGATATCACTTACAAATGCTTCAAACCTAAAAATATCATTTTACCCCTTCCCTCCCTCTTCCTCTCCTTTTGCTTTGCGAGCCTTTCCTATCTCCACGATCCTCCCCTCTCTCTTGGTCAAGCCTTTCCTATCTTCACGAGCCTCCCCTCTCTCTCGGTCACCCTCTTCTCTCCTCTGTTCTACAAAGAGCCATTCTCTCTCGTTTGCCCCCTCCCCTCTCTGCAAAGCCCGAACATGCTCACGTCTGTTGCCCTCTCCTCTCTCCACGAAGCTTTGGTTCCGCCGGCAACACACGCCACACACTCCTCTTGTTTAGGGCACCAATCGGGTGAATGATTATCTCTATTTTTTTGCTTGAACCCAACCCACAATCTTTGAATATACTCCAACCCAAATAAAGTTTTTTAAAAAACGAGATTACATGGTTAAGTTCTGGTATAAAACGAAATTTATGAATAAAACCCTATGTTTGACATATAATTTATGAAAATATAATTATAGTGCTCTCCATTACTCTTTTGGAAAAACCCAATTTTTTTTCCAGCAAATCGAAAACCCTACGTTTTTTCTCAAAAACCTATAGTTTTGATCAGCGTTTAAAAAATCACCGAGTTGAACCGGACTCGCCCGGTTCGACTCGGATTTCACGAAAATCGACCGGATCGTTTCAAGAATCGGGAATCGTCCGGTTCTAGAGAGAACCGGACGATTCCGCACAGTGACTCGTCGATTCACTGTGCGGAATCGGCGAGTCCGTGAAGAACACGGGTTGCACAGTGTTCTTCACGAATTCTTTCAAATTTGTCATTTTTTGATCATTTTTTTTGTTTTTTTTGGCATGTGATCTGATTTGCAGGCTGTAAACAGCTTTATTCAGCTTTTTCAAGAATTAAATGGTGGGAAAATTGGTTGTTTTTGGATCATGAAAATTTCGGGGTTTAGGGTTTCCGCCTTTTCTGAAATTTCATGCCAAATAGGGCATGAATCTTTCAAAATTTGTAGGCATTTTGATCTTAAAGCTGTGAATCAAAACCTTTTGTCACTAATTTGTGATAATCGTTGAGAAAAACAGAGTTTTTTGGAGATTGAAGGCTTCGGTTCACAAAAACAGGTAAGAACTTTGGGTTTTTTTTTTTTCCGCCATTTGATTTATTTCACGGCATATTTTGAACAAAATGAGTTCAATAATTAGGATTTTTAATCTTTATTGTGTCTAGTATGATTTAAAAT